ATATCCTAGCACAATTGCATTCTAGTATTATATTTTGACAATAACTTCTACATAATGTAATAAATTAATACTGATTAGTACATTCTCAATATAAATGTACAAATACTAAAATGCATAGCTTCAAATTATTTTTCCAACATTTCTAGAGGAAATTAAAATTTCTGTATGTCCTGTCTTAACAGAACCACAGCATAATACATCTCATTACTTCTCTTACTCTGGAATGTGTTCATTTTGAGTCCAAAGTCAAAAAATTGTGTTTGTTTCTACCAATTCAAATAGTACAACTTTTCTTTTCCTTTACAGGACCAATTTATGCTGAAATGATCCAGAACCTGCTTCTGCCAGTTCTTCAAAATAAGGAATGCAATTTGGTTCGTTATAATGTAATTAATGCATTACCCAATACAGCAGATTCTCTCATAGGGAGAGCTGCACACATTGCTGTTCTTGATTCAGAAATATTTTTAGAAAAATTCTTTCTTGTTGCTGCCCTAAAATATTTTCAGTAGGGAAAAGCATTGTAAGAGACTTGGTTATTACCTCAATAACAGATGAATTCAGATAATGTGTGGTGTAAAAGTATAGCTGCAGCTGTATTTTAAGAGATATTTATACTTTTTATATGGAAGATAATTTATATCATCCACACTTAGGGCTTTTTAACATCAACTTTACTTTCTAGGTAATGTGACTGTGCAATATTTTTTTATTTTGTTCTTTTTACTTTTCTATTACTTTTTCTTAATTTTGGGTACCTAATTATTTGGAGATTAAAGCACAGTGTGTACTTTTGGTTGGTTAATGGCTTTCAGACAACAGAAGTCGATGTTACTTGGCAACATTTTACAAGAGGCTTTAGATGCCAAAAATAAATTGGATTTTAAAATTCTAACAATGTCTTACGTGTTCACTTGTCGTATTTTAGCACGGTAGGAAGTTTAACTGGAAACACAATGAGCTGCTAAAATACTGGATATTTGAAAATTACTATATCTGCTACAGCTTAACAGTTTTCTACAAAATCATTACTGTCATTGTTAAATATGTTATGCTTGTGGGAATATATTTTCTACTGATCATCAAAATCATGTTCGTTTACATACTCAAATTTTATTACTGGAACTATTGTTTTCAGAAGCAAATGGCAACTAAGGATTTTTGGATGTTCAGTGATAGCTGCCTTCAAATAATTGGGGTTTTCCAGACTGTATTAGATGGTTCCTAACTGTCAGTTCTTCAGATAAACATGGACAATTTTATGTGGACTTCCTTGTATATATTTAAGTAAATGTTACAAATTTCTGCAATACTTTTATGAATTCAAGGAATTTTTAAATATTGTTAAAATGTTTTATTGACTATAAAGTATTGTAAATATAAATCAATACATCTTCAAATGAGACAATATTGTACCCTTTACCTAATTAGTGACACGGATAAAATGTTTTTGATATACAGGAATGTTAAAGGTCTGACTTTCTACTGGTGCTGAATAGCATTGTTTGGTTTCTTCTTCCTTCCATTTTCTTTGTTTCAAACAATAATTCACTAAAGGTGGGGGGGAAGAGTTACATGTGCATTCACTAATTGTACACTAATTGTAATGAACATTTTTTGAAAAATATAAATGTTGTATAATGCATGTTTATTTTTAGCATTGTGTTATTGCATCTGGTGTTAATAAAATGAACAAATTACTCTAATGAAAGCAATTAAAGAAACTGAAATGTTCTGCTAATTACCAAAATTCGGGGGGGGCTTTTTGTATATAACTAATAATTTTGTACTTTTGAAATTAATACAGTAATAATAGTTTATAATGAAGTGATTTTGCATTTGATATAGAATGTTGTATAATATTCTTTGTAATCTATGGTGGGGGAGAGTTCCCCCCATAACTTACAAGATGCTCAAATGAGTATGAGCACCTACAGTTCAGCAATGCATACACTGCAGAGTATTTTATTGGAGTTGTGTTAGGCAAGTCATTATGACACAAAGGTATCTTTAATACATTCTCACTATTACAATGCCTATTTTTATTCTTAATTTTGTATTATGATCTTGCTATTAAGCTCTAAATGTTCAAATTATGTTCTGGTGTCTCAACTGTCTTTTATTTAACAGTATTACAGGATTTACCTACTGGCTAAACTTTGAATAGCTGTTTAAGGGAGCTAAAGTTACAAAACATTCCTTGATTCACAATGAAGACTTTAAACTGTTCTTAGGAAGCAAGTATTTAGGTAGTTCTGTCACTATTGAAAAATGTCTTGCCTTCTGTCTCTGGAAATCTGTATGTGTAAAGCATGCTCCTGTGATCAGAAAAGCAGAAGTAATATGACAGAAATAGCCACTTTTTTTTCCTTTCTCTTTTTTTCCCCCTTTTTTGGGGAGGGGGGAGGTAACAGTACATCCCATCCATTTAAGGCAGTTTGAATGAGGTTTGTTCTTTGAGGAAAACAGATAGTAGGAAATCATGTTATATTTGTGTGTAAGTATATGAAGGAACAGGGCAAATTAAGAGAACAATAAATTCATTCTCTCTTCCTTAATTTTTATTGCCTACTCCGTGTGTGGTCTGGTAGCCCTCTCAGTACTGTAGCTTTTGTGAGGGCTGTCTGACATCCCAAAGGAACGTCTGACAGTAGTGAGAGGTGTGATGACCCCAACATGTCCTCGAAGCATAGGAAGTTCATATTTACTTATGACTGTATGGTCACTTGCAGTTGCTCTCTGAACAACACATGCAGGCTGGGATATTTTGGACAACTGCATGTGTTGCATGGTATGTTCCCCCTACTCCTGCAGTTTTCTGCCTTCTCTTTCCCAGACCTAAATACAGTATACATAAGTCAGTTTCACTGATGCAGTAGCAGCTATGAACTGCTGCTGCTCACCATCTCACCACTCCTATTTGAATGAGGGCTTCATCTTCCTTTAGTGATAGTGACCTCTCCTTCATCCAGGTATCCTGCAGCTGCTTGAATTATGCTGCTTACAGAGCAAGATGTAAAAACGGAGGTCTTAACATTCCTTTAACTGTCAGTCTCTTGTTCCCTGAAGGCAGTAGGCTGGTACTGTTATTTCAAAAGCTCTCAGTGATATTATTAGGAGATCACTGCATAAAGTGACATAGTGTCTGAACCTCTGTTTTCATGTTGTATATATAAATTAACTCCTTGGGTTGTGTTTGAATCCTTGATACCAACTAAACTTTCTGTTCCTGTAAATCTAGGCATTGCTGCTACTTTTGAAAAAGAGCTCATGTTGCATTGGACATCACCAGGCTTTACAGTAGAGCCAAGAGGTCTGACATTGATGGAAAATTTACTCTGTAACCATGAAACAACCTTGTTTCCAAGCTGGTTCTATTTGCCTAGACCTGACCAGGTGTGGTGTTCAGATAACCAAAGTTCTTCACGTGGTCTTAGAGGCAGAGGAGACATTTAGGAAATATCAGTACACTTGCAGCCCAGGGCACTTCTGGTTGTGTTGCTTTACAGATAGTCAGTAAACAAAGAAATGAAAACCAGAAAAGAAAACACTCAACTTAATGACAAAGTAAAAAATTCCTGTGGTGTATGCTACCTTTGTTTTTACCAGTGTTAAGATCTATTATCTTCTTTTAGCCAAAATATCTAGAAATTAATAATTCAGGAGTTACAAGTGAATTTTGACAGCAATACAATAAAGACAAGAAATGTGTTTTGAAGACATAATTTTAGGTGGATAAACAGTACCTCATTAGTCTTTCACTGCTATTTCATTCTTGCCATTTGAAATTTGGCATGTATGCTTGTATGTATGATGTATGCATACATGTATGATTTTTCATGGATTGTGTTAAGCGGTTTAGGTGCAGTGCTTAGTAATACTTGGTCTCTACAGGCAGCTTAGTAAGTTTTTTTAAGGAGAGGATTTCATGTTTTTATTGTACTGAACACATAAATAATAAGTTCTTGAACTTTGATGAGCTCCGTTTAGGTTTATTTCTTGCCACTTTTAGGCAGAGCATTTTTTTCTGCATTCGTCTTTATTCCCTCTAATCTAGAGGCCCAGCATCTTGCTGTTAAAATAAAGGAAAGGGTTTCCATTATTTTCAGTCTCTATTGTCTAATTAACCATGTTATCAAGGGCTGATTGAGAAAATGTCACTTGTAAGGCAGTCAGTTAAATTTAATCACTTTCAGTGTGTAGGCATTGCCAGATGTAGCTCAGTAAACTCCAGGGAGTGCTGCTGCTCTTTAATTTACCAAGATTTACTTTCTTAAAGCTTTCATTTGTGAACGAAAATTGCTATTTAAAATTCAGATCTCCAAGTTACCTTCTGCAGGTTAGTATCTGTGGAGTGAGTTCTGTTTTATCTAAGAACAAGGTTAGCTGGAGAAATTTAAAGGGTGACAAAAAGCTAAAGTTGGCATGCTCAAAACATGAACTAGTTAATTAACTGGAGCGTCACTCCATGCACACAGGTGTTGCTTATCCCAGGGTCAGGTTTATACTGAGTGTTAAAAGCAGCTTCACTGGTTTGAACTCGGAAACCGGAAAGATGCCGTCTGAAAGCACAAACACTTGTACATCACTGTAGTGTTAGCCGAAGTTCCTTCATGTCCTAAGCAGCCTTTGTATATTATTTGAACAATGTACAATTTTTTATATTAAAAACAAAAAACAAAATAAAAACCCTAGCTGGACTGCACTACATATTGAGGGGAAAACGGGTACTTGCAGCGTTGAACTCTTCACTGCATCGAAGAAAGAAGACATGTTTGCCCAGGGGCGGAGAGAAGAGTTACAGCGTATTTCTCGAGCACCTCTGTGAGCCCGTAGCTGCGTTCATCGGGACCGTGGCTCCCCAGGCGCCGTTCGCCTCTGTTTACCGGAGCCGGGGTGCAGCGCAGGGCCACGGGAAGCCGCTAAAACAACCCTGACCGGGGCCGCATTCGCTGCCCGCCCCCGGCTGCGGCCGCTGCCGCCTTGGGCGCCTGCGCGGCAGCGCCGCCCGCCCCGCACGGCTCCGATCCGGTCATGGCTCTGCGGCTGCTGCGCGCCGCGCCCGGGGCAGCGAGTAAGAGGCGGGCGGAGGGCGGGAGGGCTCGGGCTGTGCCGCGGAGGGGCTCCCCGGCTCCACTGCCCTTCCTCTCGTGAGCCAGGGAACAGGGCGGGCGCCGCCCGCGAATACCGGCGCTGGGGGGCTGGAGAGCGCCTAAGATGGCGGCGGGTGAGGAGTGCGACACGTCCCGCCTCCTCAGCCGCGGGGCCGTGAGCTTTCACAGCTTTCCCCACACCTTCCATGTCCCTACAGTTTCTCTGCTCTTCCCCCTTCCCCCCCCCCCTCCTCCGCCCGTTCGGTATTAATATTGTCCCCTGTACTGGGAACCTACTGCTATCGGGCAAATGTGTTTATTACAGAGGTTTTTTTGCCCTGTCGTTCCTTCATACTTCTTAATGGCAGTAAAATGTTAGTGGTGTAATGTTTGGAGAATAGCGGGAGGAAATATACTGTAGACCTGGAAGTTACTGCTTTGTGCCCTTCACCGCAGGAAATTCAGGTGGTTTGTTTATAGAGGAGTAAGGCAGACTGGATAGCAGAGCCTGTCCCACAGGCCTCCGCTTGGGCTGTTTGTTGGGTGCTTCCCTTTCCGTCAGAAGCTGAGGTTGTGTGATGTTATTGGTACAGTACTCCTAAAACAAACCAGTACGCTGTAAGGTAATGGAAGAGCTGTAAAAATTTGTTGTTAGATGTTTGTGCTCTATTTGGCTGTCAGGTTCGTGGCAAGATGCGGCTGATGCTCTAATCATCTGAGCATCCCGATGTTTGCTCATCTCCCACTGCATGGATGGCTTTTTTAGGATAACTCACAGGCTGTGAGCCACTTCAAAAGATGGAATACTGTAGCACAGCTACTTTAAAGACTTGGGATTTTCGACTTTAACTTCAGTTATATAATTAATAAATGGGAGGGCTTTGTGACACCGTGTAAAAGAGGTGGGAATCAAAGATCAGTTTGTAGAATGTGGTTTGCTAATGTTGATAGTTCATCTCATCTTTTTCAGAGATGATTAATGTTGAACTTTTGTCACTTCTCTGTCAAGAAGGGTGTATTCTCATCAAAAATATTAAGAAAATCTATCAAGAAAAATGGACTTTGCCTCTTCTCTGGTGACCAAGATAATCAATTTTGTACCAGTACCTTAATCTGATCTTTATTTGAATTTGGACTAGAATACCAGCTATAATTTAATTTTCTAGCTGACATTTCTTCTAGCTTACTGAAGAATGACATGAAGCTTGACGGAAAGAAACATTTGCGACAGGTTAGAACCTTTACTGTTGATAGTTTGTTAAGTCATGCTTAAAGCAAAAAAAAAAAAAAAACACCAAAAAACAAAACCAAAAAAAACCAAGCCACCAAAAAAAACATTACTCCTTTGGGGCATTGGCAGACATAATACAGTTTATGTGGCTGTAGGGTTTGATATTGAAGATGTGGTATCTTAAAATTAATGAATATGCTGATTCTGGGAATAAAAGCATGTTGTTGGTGTATATTAAGGTGTCAGTCAAATTGACAGTGCTTGAGAAGGCTTCCTGATTTAATCTTCTTAAGAAAGTAGAATAATAGTTCTTTCAGGTACTTTGCACCCACTTGGTACAGGGTGGATCTCTGTTTAAATCTTGCTGCTTAAGAAATGTCAGAACTGCTTTAGGCACTTGTCCTCAGCCAAAATATTTTTAGTGGATAGTTTATGCTCACTGTGGACATTGGGCTTCTTTAACCAAAATGTTAGTAGGACTTTAAAGGAAAAAAAGTTAATGCTTTTAATGAAAGTATTTGCATGCGGTTACATAATTGAACTTAAACAAAGATTTTCCTGCTTTTGATTACCAGCTGAATTATTTTACCATCCTAAGGGAAACCCTGCTATCCTCTGCCGACATTTTGGGAAACCTGTTACTAAGGGAACGTTTTATTTTTTAGAACCTTCCTTTGGAAAAGCAGAAGCTTTTTCTGACTAAAAAGTTGCTGGAAATGATCCAAGACATAGAAATCAGCAGGTTTCTTGGAGGAGGTTAGGATTTCTCCCGGAAAACAGACTGTACTGGTCTATGCTAGCATAATTACTGTTTAAGAGTCTAAAATACAAGAAAGTAACAGCAAAGATAAGTTCAAGCCGTTTAAAATACACTATTTATGTGAACTGAGTTATACAACTAACACAATTTTGCCTACATATGTTTCTAGGGCCAAAAATAATTATCTGTGCTGATTCCTTAGGTGTTCATGAGTTGAATGTTAAATAATTTTTAGAATTTATTTTCCTGCCTTCCTCTCCCTCATCCCTGAAGAAGGGTCTTTTCAGAGGTGCTCTGGACAGTCACAGCATTAGTCAGTGTTAAACTCCCACATTTATGCTACATGTGTCCGTTTGCTTGATAGAGTCATCACTTCTTTGCCACTCACGGAGCAGCTCCAGCTCTAAGCCTGGAGGAAGATCTGAACCTGCTAAGCAGCCACTAAAGAAACCAAAGTTACCAGTAGGTCGGTTTGATGAACCAGAAGAGTCCAGCATGGAGAAGGAACCCCTGGAAAGTAAGTAATGTTTTACAAACTGGGAAGGTGTGTTTTAAAGGCAAGACTGTGAGATGCTGTGCTGTCAGTTTAAGAAGGTGACAGGTATTCAGCACTCTTTAGAATAATTATCTAAGCCGATTTTGAAGAAAAAAACAGGCAAGGGCAGTGGGCACAAATTGCAGCAAATGGTGCACCAGTGGAGAGGAGCCTTCAGAACAACCATGGTCCAACATTGTAGCGAGTCACGCAGAGAAGCTGGGCTTTCTCTGCTCTTGAAGATAAGCAAATTTGCCTGGGTGGCCTGACTTAGTGCCAGCCCTGCCTTTATCAGGGCTGGAGACAAGTACTTGCCAGAGGTGCCTTCCACCACCACAAAGCGTTGCATGATTCAGAGAAATATGGCTGATATTGGTCTGTAGTACTTGAGCTGTAAATGGTGCCAGTAAACTCACCAGGGCAGCAGCTACTTTGTATTATTCAAAAAGCCTGTTTTATTTCTTAGTCTATGAAACATTTTTGATTCATGCTGCATTTTGTGGCCAACATTTCTTAGTCTTGCAGGCAGTGTTTTGAAAATAAATAATTGATACTGAGTTTGCTGAACATCTCAGTGAGGCCTGGACAGACCTAACGAGCTGGTATGGTTGTTGTGTTCTGGGGACCTCAGTGGGGCTGCATGACAAAATTGAGATACAGATACATCACTTCTGAACTAAATAGGAACGTAAGTTTTTTTGTCACATGGGAGAAAGACAGAATCTCTTTCTTTTTAATTAGCCATCTTCACTTAACTAAAAGCCAGTCATGCTTTGTATAAATCACCATAGTGTGATGTTCTGCTACAGTTCATCAGTAGCAATAACCCATGTTTATCTATTTTGAGGTCTCGAGGATAAGCTCTTTAGTGTCTTGATAGATTGCTATAAATATCCTGACAACAAGATGACTGAAAAATCATAGAATCATAGAATGGTTTGGGTTGGACAGACCCTTCAGGATCATCAAGTTCCAACATTCCTGCCATGGACAGGGTTACCTTCCACTAGCACAGGCTGCTCAAAGACCAGTGCAGCCTAGCCTTGAACTTTTCCAGGGATGGGGCATCCACAGCCTCTCTGAACATCTTGTTCCAGTGTCTCACCATCCTCACAGTAAAGAATTTCTTCCTAACAGCTAATCTAAACCTACCCACTTTTATTTTAAAGCCATTCCCCCTTGTCCTGTCACTACATACCCTTGTTTAAAGTCCCTCTCCAGCTTTTTACAGGCCCTCTTCAGGTACTGGAAGGCTTCTAAAAAGTCTTGCAAACTTTTGTGCAGACTGAAGAACCCCAATTCTCTCAGTCTGTCTTAATAGGAGAGGTGCACCAGTCCTGTGATTGTCTTAGTGGCCTTCTCTAGACTTGTTCCAGCAGGTCCACCTCTTTTTTGTGCTGAGGATTCTACACAGTACTCTGGGTGGGGCTTAGGCTTGTTTTGTTTTGTTTTGTTTTAAAACAAATATTTATTATACAAGAACTTTCAAAGAGGCAATGCAAAGAGTAACTTTCAACTGCTTGCAGCAAATTAAACACAAGTTTCTTCTGGCCAACATCTTCATAAATTAAGTATTAACAAGTTGATGCAATATTTTCTTCTCACTCTTCTATATACAGAATATATTCTGCCTTACTATGGAAACAGGAAGCCAGGTCTGAAAGCACTAACATCCTGGGGAAAAGAAATACAGACTGATCTATTGTCTACAGAAGAAAGGCAGCAGAGTGCCCATTGGAAGCAGAATTTCCTTAGTCTGTAGACAGTACTTCATTAAATCATTCAAACACATTATCCTGCTGTTCTGTACAGTGCTGATGACTATCCAATTCTTTGGATGTAGTCTTGGATAAACTTGGAAAAGTTATTTTCCAGAACTGGATGTGATACTGTCTCACAAGAGCATTGCCACTCACCTCCAGAAAATTAAAAAGTAGCATAGCTGTCACATCTGTCAGAGCCTCCATATTCAACATCCAGGCAAGCCAGTGCCATGCATAGTTCAGTCCATCAGGATGTGCTCATTATTTAATTCCATAAGGCCACCAGAGTTGAATGATAGTAGCATAAAGACAAATTATTCCTTACATTCATTTAAGAAACCATTCTTCTTCTTCCACCTTAGAATCCTTAATTTCATATCCAGAATCCTCAGATACTCTTCCTCAGAAGTCCCCTCTTTTCATACAGGGCAAAATGGCATTTTTTTGTGCAGCAGTGCTAAAATAATGTTTCCATCTCCGGAGTGTATTGCCCTGAGGCCACCACAGCCATTGGGAAAGCTGCATCATGGCGAAAAACTACTTCTGCTTCTCCTTCTTTCATTAATTTATCCACAAGTTTGTCATTGTATTGTTGTTGTATTCTTGCATTATAGAATTATCTCCATGCAATTTCAGATTGTGGCTCACTTGAGAGGTAATTCACAGTTGGAGTTACTGTGTAAGCAGCTGCTTAATTCTTATCTTTTTATTCCTGGGAAAATCAGTGCCATCACTGCTTCATTTAAAACATGCATAAGCAATATCTTCTGTTATTTGCTTAGGTATTCCAAGTTTGGAGCAAGACTTAAGGTCTCTTTAGTTGCACCTGTGTTTTTTACATGTAATACCATCAAGAGTTTGCAAACTGCCTGTTGTATTATTAGGAAAAAACTATGAGTTGCAGCTGGATTTAGAATTCCCACTGCTCTGTAACTATTGGGGAGAAATCTTTTGAGCATCTGCATGCACTGTCAGCACGTCAGCAGTGCTTTGATATTGAGATGATGACATGTACAAAATAACATCAGGTGCATTTGCACCCTTTGTACTGCCAGAGGTGCTCAGATGTTGACGTTTCTTTTCCTGGTCTCTATCAGTTATGAAACAGGTATCCTGGTATGTCATCCTGTATAGCCTGTAGTTGCATGAGTTTCTTCCATGACTTTTCTTTTTGTTTGCTGTCCAGAATTTCTGTTGTTGTCTTTTCTCATTTTCAACCCTGCGCCTGTGTTGCTCACCAGGGCTGAGTTAGGGATATGACTGAGGGAGTCCCAAGTTAGGTATATATATATATGGGAAGCTCTGGAAAATCAGCATGGCAAGGGGCATGTGGGATACTCTGAGTTTTTGGGAGCCCCGCAGGATGAGACTTGGCCTAGGGTGGTGCTGTACCACAAGTACTTCATGGCTTGATGGCCTGAGTTAACTATTCTTTGGAGATGGCCCTGGGTAAAAGTTAACTGAGTAGTGTAAGAATGTTGGCTGAGGTACAGAAAGCTCTGTGGTGTTTGAGAAAGTAGCGTGAGCTGGCAGTGTGCTTCTCTTTTGTAGCAGAGTAGGGGGTTGGATGAAAAGCTGGACATGATCCAGCAGTCTGTGATTGCAGTCTAGAAAACCAAATCCTGGACTCCATCAAAAGCAGCGTGGCCAGCAGGTCAAGAGAGGTGATTCTCCTCCTCTGCTCTCATGTGACCCTACCTGGAGTGCTACATCCAGCTGTGGAGTCCTCAGTGCAAGAATGGCATGGACCTGTTTGAATGGGTGCAGAAAAGGGACACAAAGATGATCATAGGGCTAGAACATCTCTTCTACCAGGACAGGCTAAGAGAGCTGGGTTGTTCAGCCTGAAGAAGAGAAGGCTTTGGGAAGATCTAATTGTGGCCTTCTAATGTCTAAAGGGCATTTATAAAATGCAGAGAAGGAGTTTTCATACAAGCAGATAGTGATAGGACAGGGAGCAGTGGTTCTAAGCTAAAAGAAGGCAGGTTTGGATTATATGTTAGGAAGAAACTCTTTACTCCAAGGGTGGTGAAGCATTAGAACAGGCTGCCCAATGAACCTGTGGATGCACCATCCCTGGAAATGTTCATGGTTAGGTTGGATGAGTCAGCTATCCAACCTGGATGTTTTAAATACAAGACTAACAGAATCTTGATTAAAATTCTAGCTGAAATTGGAACATAGTGCTTAAAATTAGAGAGACTTAAACAGCAAGTTACCTGGGGTTATAAATTTAGTGAACATAAGTACAGAGTACCTGAATGATGCAAGTTCTGACTTGAGAACCTGTGGTCTTTTTATGCCCTGGACATTCAGTTGCTTCTTTATTTGCATAACTGAATATGATCATACAACAGAAAATAATTTTATAGGACTCTGAGAAATGTTTAACTCAAGGTTGCCATTCAAAACAAAAAATAATCTATTTGTCTTTGAAAATGAAACTAAAAGGAGAACATAATAAATTATAGCATCTTTATATTTGTCAACATTATAGAAATTTTAATGAACTTTCCCTCTTATTTTAGAATTCCCTGATGGAATCAATCCTACTACAAAAGAGAGGGGTGGACCTAGAGGCCCTGAACCTACACGTTTTGGAGACTGGGAGAGAAAAGGACGTTGTATAGATTTTTAATATTTAAATATCTGTATTGCTAATAAAATATTTCTAGTTGATGAAAAATATAATGTACAAAAAAAATCTCACCTGGATTTGTCGTGCTTATTGTTTCTGTTGTGCCACGACATTCTGTCATGTGATGAAGTTTCTGAATAATGCAATGTAATCAAACACAATGCTGCAGCTCAGATTATGGAGCTGTTAGTAGTTCAATGTCTGCCTGATCTTTACTACTACTTACAGTGTGCAAGTATAAATGCAAGTGTAGTGGTGTGAAATTGGTAGTCAGGGGCTTATTGAGATGTATAAGGGTCTGTATTTCTATATGAATGTAAAGATTTATGTGATGTTGTAAACGTGTTGAAAGAACTTTGCATTTCATGAACCTGGACATCAGTCATCAAAAGTAGAACCAACTCTGAGGAGATCAGTAGGTCACTGACTTCACACAGTGGTTCCATGGTAAAAGTCCCTTTACTCAAAAACCTTCCTTCGGTCCCCAATGCATTGGGTTGGGTGTTTTTTCCTGTTTGTAGGGACAGTCTTGTCTCTGATTGATGACTGTAAGTAGCACAATGAAAATGGAGACTAGATTTTGGAGAGGGTCAGCTCTTGATTGCAAGTAGCGTAGAGGTGCTCTATTTGCAATTCTAGAACATTGTTCTTTATCACTTGTCTTCTTCATGCTACTCGCATCATCTTTTCTAAGTGGAGGTGCCCTTTTGCATGTGGGCTAAATACTGCTTGGGAAAAATACAACATTACTGTCTGAAATCATATGATCAAAGGGGACAAATTCCGTCAGGTGATCTAATATTGTAAGTCTTTAAGTTACCTGACATCAAACTAAATATCTTTCAGTCAGACTGAGCTCAGAATTCATTCAAGAATTTTCCTAGTTGCAAGTACCATAGTAGAGTAGTAGTAGTGTGCAAATCTATCACTCGTGTAAGTACTTACTAATGAGAATAAGTTGTCATTATTGAAATGTGTGAACATGTGCTCTATTTCTGTGCAAGTTCTTTTTGATAGCCTGAACAAATGGATCTTCTCTAGTCACAGAGAAAGGTATGGGTTTTGCATTACTCTGTTGGCTTTGCCCAGCTTTGTCTTTGTATGGTTTAACAAGAGCATTAAACAAGAGCAGCTTCCCCTAAAACTCACTTGACTGGCAGCCAGTGGGGGAGCTGCTTGTTGAAATCTGATAGTTTGTGTATCCAGTGTGTATGTTAAAGACATACACACTGTCTTGCTCTAGTTGTGAGTTTGGAAGTTTGTCTCAATGTGATGATTCCCTGCAAAAATACCAAACCTGTTCAGTTATAGGTTTATCAACCAAATACCTCACTGACAAGCAAAATGATATTAATGAAAGTGTATTTCTCATAAAAGGTGTTAATTAGTGGTAATTACATTTTGAACCTTTAAATTCTACATCATGGCTTGAATATTGGAAAATTTGTTCATATTTATATCTAATTCGTTCTAGTTTCCCTTATGTAGAGTGAAAGATCTTTCCAACATCTGTTGGCATTTTCAGTTACCTAAAGATAGGCTGGGTCAGCTGTCTTTAATATATCCTGTTTGTTAATTATTTCTAGTAATGTTCTGCCTTGCCTTTTCATTTGCTGGTGTGTTGGAAAATACTTTCTCACACAATACACCACCTTTTCAAATAGGAAGTGGAAATTTTAATTGGAAGCTTCTGCCTTTTCTGCATCATTATTAATAGGCTTAACATCTTAATTCATGAAGAGGTGGTAAAATACTGCAGTATTCTAGTATTTTTCAATTCTAAATCTTTTCCATGGATTGTTGCATTACTTCATTATTTTCTCATACCAGGTTCTACCCTTCCTAGCACACACTTCATGAATGAAGTTGTACTTCTTGGCATTTACTTCTTGGCATTCCTGATTTTCAAATCCAATTGCTTTCCTCAGCATCAACTGCAGGTGCCTTCCTCCCCGGATCCAGAATTATGCTGTTTTGATTTAGCATATGAAGAACTGCTCTCACTTTCCGATCATTTTCTTTACATTTAAGTCCCTTATCTTCGGTCTCCTTTAGCTTTGTGATTAAAGGCTGACCCAAGTACTGTCCAGGTCCCTGCTTGTCTTCTTTCATGCGGGTGGTGGCTGCTGCTGTCAGAGCCACAGGCAGGCAGTCCTTCCTGTCAGAGCTCAGGCAGGTCCTAGACACTCCATGCCAGTATCCATGAAGTACCTGGATTTGGAAGATAATTCTGAGAGCACTAGCATCTGTACCAGTAAGACAGAGTGTCTCATAAAGGCAGGGATTTTGCTTTCCTTCAAAAACAGAATCACAGAATAATTTAAATTGAAATAGACCTCTAAAATCATGAAGTCCAACCATTAACCAAACACTACCAAGTCTGTCACTAAATCTGCCACTGAGTGCCACATCTATATATCTTAAATACCTCCAGGGATGGTGACTCAACCACTTCCCTGGGCAGTCTGTTTTAAGCTTGACAGCTCTTTCGTTGAAGAAATTTTTCCTAAAATAAAAAACCTGTTGTTAACCCATGTTATAAATAGCTGAAAAGGAATTGGTGCATGGGAAATAGAGGATACCACTTCTGTCTTGAGCAGCTTCAAGCCTTTTTTGCCACCTCCCAGGTTGGTGCCAGTAACCAAGTATTTGCTGAACTTGTTTATTGGAATGTGTCAATAAGACATTGGAAACTGAACATATAAGCAAAATAATATGTAAGAGCCAGAGTGAATGCCAGGGGGCCGCCTTACATTGTCTGGCAATCTGGCAGTTACCAAAAAGAGGAGTAAGCTCCAGTAACAGATTAGCACAAAATCCTATGGTGCTGCAAAATCTCTTGTGGTACCTGTCAAAAGTGATCAGGGATAGAATGTAACAAATGATACAATGGTATTGTAGGGTACAAACGATCATTTCTCTTTGTTTCCTTGCAGAACCTGTAGTCAGCACTTTTTTGGAGCTGTTTTCCTGCTCTTCCCAGATAATTGCTATTAACAATTCACTGGAATTTAGCATTAGGGTAAGAAAACAGCTTGGGGCATTAGCTATTAGATCAGCCATAGATACGGTTTTATAATAAATACTGATTGAATATTTTTTTGAACTCCTTGTTAGCAATAAACAGTGTAGAGCAGCAGGGGTTGTATACTAACATTTTCTGTTAACTTTCATGGAGACAAAGAAAAATCGTTCTGTGTGTGTAAGCAAATTCTTGCAGTACTGAAGTTTCAATTTACAGTTAAAGAAAATATGTGCTTTATATTGCCTTGTTTGGAAAGTATGTATTTCAGAGTTAATTCTATTAAGTTGAAACACAGGATACATAATAGAAATTACGTACAGTGAAATTACCTGTGATGGTAGCATATGTTTGTAAAACACCATAGAATGTTGTTACAAATCTTTACTATTTTTTCACTTGGCTGCAATAAATGATGACAAATTCCAGTGGTCTGTAGTGACAGATTAATTACGTGCCTTTTTATTACCCTTATTTTGGTATTCATATTGAAAAAGCACCACACCATCTTGTTCTGAAATGTCAGGAAAAGGAGGAAAACTGTATTCATTTATAAAACAAGCAGTTTTGGAAGTTCTGTGTTTTTTGTAATTGTTCATGAGCCAATATGCAGTATCAAGTATATCCGAGCATAAGGAAATGGTTTGAAATGTGTTTCCATGTGCTGAGATCAAAATCATGCACATTTGTGGTCACTTTCTTGCTTTTATAAAATGCAGTATAAAATAACTTTACTTTTCTGGTGGTCAGTGTTTCGTATCAGACCAGCTGAGATGTGCAGGCTACATTCTAATGTGGGTATGGCCGTGTTCTCTCTTCCAGCTCCAAAACTGCTGCTTGTTTAGGGGTAGTCATACCTAATCTTCTCAAACACTTTTGGTGCAGAAAGGGTGTCCCAGCAGAAATTGAATCTTAGCTACAAAATGGCAAATCCTGAGAAAACAGCTCTATTTAAAATGAGTGCTCTGAGGGGTGGAACTAACAAAGTCCTGTTTCCTGTGAATGTCTTACACCCCCTGCAGATTAAGCATATTTCTCCATGTTCCTGTGTTGATTGACATTATCTCCACTAGGCCAGAGATGAGGCATCTTTATGCCCATCTCTTCCCCCTGAGAGAAATTCTTTGGACCTCTTTCCCAGCCACTGATTTCCACAGAGCTTTCAAGAGCTTAATTCTCTTGATGTCTCTCCTTGACACCTTTTCAGAATATGTTGGATTTACTGACCTTTGAAGTGCAGAGGCAGTGTAGATATTGGCCTCCCATCCTTTGGAAACCAAGCTGTTGTATGACTTTGACCATACATATTTTCTTCAGGAATATTCAGCATCTCACTGAATTTTCCTGCAGTGAGAATGGATTTTTTTTCCCCTCAAGTAACATTAGAAGTGCAAATTAAAGCTTGCAGCAAGAAAGTCTTTGACATGCATTCTCCAGGCATTAAATCTCTCAGTCATCTACAGCCTTGTGCCTTTAAAAAAAATCACATATTTTAATGTTGCCTTTTTTAGGGTGAGAGTGTTCAAAGAAGCTCTTTAAGGTCCTTACTTAATACATAAATTTATATTAAAGCTGACATACATGGCCCATCAAAACATAGCTATAATTCTCAAGTGTTAGCCCCTGACAAAAGACAGGTGAGTTCTGCAAAGGTGGTCAGGTTAGTTCTAGGGGCCAGATACTGAAATACAACTTACCCTCTCCTAACTGATGTTTTAAATTTCTGTGACTTACCTTGCCTTCTGTGCTTCCCTCCTAGTTGTAGTGCAGGGAGGTGCCTCTAAAAGGTAGTCTGGTCTCAGTATGGGGAGAGTTTTTCATTACAGATGGTAAATGGGGAGTGATGGCTTTAAGGGCATCCTCTCCACTGACTTTAAAGGCTGTCTAAACAGCTGTCCTAAGCGAGATGCATTAGGTGTCAGCACCATGGTCGTAACAAGGGAAGCCAGGGTGTACAGAACATGTGAACTACTCACTTCAGAGGGGCAGGGCTGCAGTGAGGCAACAGGACCTGCAGTGCTTTCGTTGCCTGCACCCTTCCCAAACACTGGTGGCAGAGAAGGGGATGTCCAGGGCCAGCTCTTAGACACCTTGTAAAAGGGAGTTACATTGTCTTCAAATGAGAGGAAAAAGGCTAAAGCTAGCTCTTTAAATTCCTTCTGCCTATCCACCTCCCAAGGAAATGCCTACAGCATGATACAGCCAAGAGGATAACACTGGATAAACTTATACTCGGGTGACAGCAAGTATCTCAAACCTACAAATTAGTTGGGATTTTTTCCTTAATAAGGGTGAACTGCATCAGCCTAACAACTAAGC